ATGCGCAAAACTCCGCATTTGAACAGTCAATAGCAAATACTTAAACTAATAACAAACAGTAGCTGATTCAGAAGCGCCAGATGCACAGAATGACCTCCTCTCCTAGCTTCACGAAACGGTCCTCCATAAAATGCATTGCTGTTCTGTTGTAAGTCATCTTAAAGATTCCTAAATGCATCTACTTCCGGAAGCCCAAATAAAGTGCTTTTGCTTTCGCACTGAAACACACAGCGTCTCCCTGACATGCTGCTTCAACACTAACTGCAGTTACTGAAACCAAGCCGCCTTTCTTTGCGTGCACATTTGGGCGCATTATGCTAATATTTCCACATAGTGATGTAGATATGTGGGGGCGTGTTAGAACGAGGCGTTTTAGGGGGGCGTGGCAGAGTCTTAACTTTGATAAAGAATATCTCTTTGGTTTTGAGACTTTAGTCTTTGCAACTTCAGGGATCTTATCTATGCACAATCAGCTTGTAACACTCCAAAGAGAAAGAACAACTTGAAATCGCATCATATGACCCCTTTAAAGCTCTCGAGCATTTGAAGCAACAGCTATAAAAACTGGAGCGTGCGCATATAACAAACAGAACGTTATGGAGTGCTGGTATGGATGCTAATTTAGTCATCATTCTTGGTGTGAACGGGTGTTTAGTTCACTACCAGATTGTTTTAGCACTTACGAACTGAACTGGTTTTCACATATACTTTACACCAGACTACTTTGGAGCACTGCTTCCTCATTAACCAAACCACACTGGAAGCCCTAGTGTGAAAGCTAAACACACTGACTCGCATGCGTGTGAGGAAAGTTTGCTTGGGTGAAATCACACACATTTATGCGTAATCATCATAGCCAGGCAACCTGAGTGAAAAATGCTCCTTATGTACCTTTTAATAGCCACTGTTCACATTTGGTCAGAACAGCAGTTATGAATGACACAAACAAAAATGTGGACGTACCTGATGTAAGACACAGCTCTGTCTTCCACCTTCCTCTGCCAGCCGACCGGGATCTGAGCGATGAGCGTCGTACCTCCATCTTTTTCTCCTGCTGCACTCTCACTGCCCCCCGTCATTTTCTGCTCGCACACATCCAGCTCCTAAAGACACAAACCACTTACAATTCAGCTTCAAACCAGATCTGATGAACAAGATTCAGTTTCTAACTAGATCTGATGAACAAGATTCAGTTTCAAACAAGATTGAGATTCAAATGAGATTTCATGAGCCAGATTCAGTTTCAAACCAGATTTGAAAAACCAGATTCAGTTTCAAACCACATGTGATGAACCAGATTCAGTTTCAAACCACATCTGATGAACCAGATTCAGTTTCTAACCAGATTTGAAAAACCAGATTCAGTTTCAAACCACATGTGATGAACCAGATTCAGTTTCAAACCCCCAAACCACATCTGATGAACCAGATTCAGTTTCAAACCACATCTGATGAACCAGATTCAGTTTCAAACCACATCTGATGAACCAGATTCAGTTTCTAACCACATGTGATGAACCAGATTCAGTTTCAAACCCCCAAACCACATCTGATGAACCAGATTCAGTTTCAAACCCCCAAACCACATCTGATGAACCAGATTCAGTTTC